TACAGAGGGTTAAAAGTATAGGGCTACATAAAGAAAGAATCTTTTGTAGAAGCCGCCTGGAAGGACATAGAAGGACATCTCCTGGATTAAGTTACCTTGTTAGTGCGTGCTGTATACGGTGAATTTTAATTTCTGTGATCAGGGAAACTTTATGCTTCACTAAGTTTTAAACATCCAGGACATCTCGCACAAAGCCAACATCGAGTCAGTCACGATACAGAGCTTTCCTTTGTTCAGTTGGAAATTGAATTCATTTCATGCAACTGAATATTCATTTTAAAAAGTGGAGGAATATTGTTGGACAAAAATGAATAGTCATCCCACCATGCACCACAATGTGCCTCCTACAAAAGTCCTTTAAAACCATTTGCTGCTCGGTACATCTCATTAACAGATTAAAAAGCCCCAAATCAATAACAGAGATTAGTGAGCACATCCAAAGTCGTGCTTATACACATAAACAGAGTTCTACTACATTTATTTCCTATTGGTCGGATACTTACCAACCAGTCCTGTAATGAGTGAAATGTTATACTGTAATAAATAATTCAATTCAGTTTAAGCACATTCACTTAAAAGTTGGTGTTTCCACCATAAGGAGGATGATCAAACTATTTGGTACGGTTGTAATTTTAAATGGAGCTATTAAAAAAAAGCTGCGTTTCTTTTATTTACTGAACAGCATGAATAACATTTCCAGGGTGATGCAGCTCACAACAGCACATGAAATGCAACTTATCATAGAATTAGCTGTCAGGTCATGCATTTTTTACATTTTTTTGAAAACTCTCCCGGCACTTGCTGTCTGGATAATGTGGCGTTTTGTATCAAATAAACTTTCGATGAACCGTGTGTGTGTGCGTCTGTCTGTGTATTTTCAACGAGGCACGCCACCCTGAAACGTCTCATTGATTTCCATGTTTGGACCTGGAGCCTGTTTTTAGCAACTCAAACTTCATGTCTATTGAGTGTTTTTGTGGAAACATTGGCACAGATGAAAGAACAGACGTTGTTTCCGTGCGCTTTTGTTTGGGACTTAAGATGAAACAGGCTTCGGGGTCATGTCAGTCAACCCTGTGTGCAGAGACGAGGGATTTTGGTTCATATGTGTGTGTTTTAGCACTCTGTGTCTGTGTGTGGCTTGATTTACTAACCCCAGGGTCTCTAATGTGTTACAGTTACACTTAACTCACACAACGAAGCATCATTTAAAAAAATAAATAAAATGTAGTTTGAATGATTTACAGCTGTTCTAAATATATTTCCAGATTGAACATGTTTGCTGGCCACCTGAAGATACTGTACTTTTTGTCAAACAAACTGAGCCATCATCTCTGTTTTGAATTCCATTCTCTTCTCTTTTCTTTTTTTAATCATGCACTGAATGGGATTTTTTTTTCAGTTGCATGGCTAGTCTTTGAGGATTCTCTAAGTGTCTTTCGTAGTATGTTTTCTGAGATTGCTTGGTATTTATTTATTTTTCCTGAAATGCAGTGCTTTGCTCTGTATCTCAAGTACTTCTAATGGATTACACACAGAGATATGACAACATGAGTCCTTGAACACGCTGTTCTCTTTATCCACTAATGCTGGCATGTTTGCATGTCTCATCCGCCTCTTTTAGGTACATTCTGCTTCTGCTTGTACTGTTTGCGATCCCAGGGGTGGTGATGATTGTGGCCTATGGACTGATCTCCAGAGAACTTTATCGAGGCATCCAGTTTGAGATGGGCCACAAAAAAGACTCCACCGGTGAGGCAATGCGCACTACATACAGAAAACATGGAGAAAATAGTAAATGGTAAAGATTTAATGAATGTCCCAGAGTGCAACTTTGATCCCAGACAACAATAATAAAAAAACAAAAACAAACATAAAATGCAGAAAAGTACTGCAATAAATAAAAACTACAGTAAATACAGTTGTCCATCCATCCATTATCTATACATTTAATCCTCACTGGGGTCGTGGGGGGCTGGAGTCTATCCCAGCTGACTCAGGGTGAAGGCAGGGGACACCCTGGACAGGTCACCAGTCTATCACAGGGCAACAGTTAGAGACAGACAACCAAGCACACTCACATTCACGCCTATGGACAATTTAGAATCACCAATTAACCTCAACATGTTTTTGGACCTTGTGGGAGGAAGCCGGAGAACCCGGAGAGAACCCACGCTGCACGGGGAGAACATGCAAACTCCACGCACCTCCACCTAGATGCGAACCGGCGACCTTCTTGCTGCGAGGCAACAATGCGACCAACTGCGCCACCTTGCAGCCCCTTGTCTGAATTTAGATGACAAAAATTTCTGACACCTAGTTTTTGACATTGCAAAGACAGTCATTAGGAGAGCTCAGGGTTAAAAGATCTAACAGGCCGGTGTATCCGCATATCAGCTGCACTAGAATGGAAAGGACACTCTGTGTATGAACAATGTACTCAAGGGGAAGCGTGTATAAAGAAAATAAAATTGGTCCCAAAATTGACCCCTGTGGCACACCATACTTAGGAGGTGAAAATGAAAACACAGAATAAAACCTGATATTAATCAGGTATGATGAAAAGCATTCTAAAGTTATACCGAGTCATCTTGCAGCCCTTAAATACAGTTGTGAAGAAAACAAAAGTGCACATTTAACACTATCACCATTTAACATATCACCGCTGTTACATTACAGTTGTGACTTTATAACTTTTAGAAATAGGTTTTTATTCTTAGAACTGAAAATACCAAACTAAAGGAACAAAGTCAATTCCATTGGAGGAAGTAAAGAACATTTTCATGGTAAACGTTGATGTTAAACATCTGCACTTCCTAAAGAACAATTAATGTTGGCAGTGGAGGTAATCCTGTCATTGAGGATGGTGGTTAGAGGATCTGCCCAAATTGTCTTAACAAAAAAACCCTTCCTATGCAACTAAACTGCATTTACACATAGAAAAGGAAGCATTTACCCCAGAAGGTAACACTATGATGAGACACTTCCAGTCTGAAAATCAGTGTTAGGAGGTCGGAGGTAAAGGAAGAACTCCGCAGCAGGACTTTCACCCAGTAGGTTGAGTTTCTTGTCCGTGTGGTGTCATTATTTTTAGACTAAAAGTTAGATTTTCTTATGCTAATCGCTTTAATTTCACTTGCTGTATGGTTAATTTTAGGCACCAACATGACTGGGTTTAGGAACATATATATGGTTTTGGTTAAAATACTTTTCCAACATGTTACCAGGATGACAAGTCCTGCCCAATCTAACATATGATTGGCTGGCTGAAAAAGAAAAATCCAGCTATTAAAATAAATTGCAAAGATATAGTATATTTTACTCAAAAAATAAATGAGAATGCATTTTAACTGTGTAGAAACGTCATTGTTAGGAGACAAGGCTGCATGTGGAGGATCTCCGTTTGCTTCCTTGATTGCTCAGCGTGCTGTAAACAACTAAAAAGCACCAAACATGTGATGAAATTTAGTCTGATGTATGGTTTTGATGCTCCTGAAAATCACTGGCAACAAAATTCAGATTCCAAAGCCTCCTATTCACCTCAAAAGACTTTTGAGAGACTAGTTTCTGTAGGAAAGGCAAGCTGACCTGTGCCTTTTTAAACTATTGACATTTTCTGACCAGTTCAATACAAATGTATGAGGTGTGGCTGTTAAATACCAAGAGTCAGCTTATGTAAGTCAACCTGGCATTGCCCCATTATGTAATAGCTACACCTTGTATGTCGGCTTGTTGTATATAAATGTGTCTGATTGGGCAGTGTTCTCTATCTCACTGTAATTGTTTTACTGACAGTGTGCTGACTCAAACTGTGCCTCTCATTAAATGAAGCCACACTTACCAACAGAGCTCTGATATTACTGTTCACATTTTTATTTTTTTACATGGTTTATGTGAATGATGAAGAATTGCACTTTAATCACAACAATTTCATTAGCGGTACAATCACTGTAATGTGCGCAGGTTAAGTGAAACATAACCTTTTGTGGGCATGTGAGAGTGTGTTTGGGATGATAGTCGCATGGAGTGTGCTTGCTTGTGCTCCATTAGAGGATGGAATTGGCCAGCAGCTGTGGGCCTGGGCATTACCATCTGTTTGGTCTCAGAGAGAAAGGGGTTGTCCAAATAAATAAATAACTAAATAAAGAGTTTGAGAGAGACAAAGATGTGTGGAGGTAAAAAAAAACAACAAAACAAAATAAAATAAAAAAAGTGGAGTGGGGGGGTTATGAGATCACAAAATAAACTCTTGAGAATTGATTTAATAACCCAGGAGTGGTTTAGCAAATTTTGAATGCTCTCTTTCCAGTATCAGATCCTGTTTGGTTGCCTCGAGGCTCTTGATGCTGTTTTCATTGTCCTTTGTCCTGAGGAAGGAAAGCAGCATTATTAAATTTCTATGAATAAATTGCAATATCCCTTGATGGATGATTACTGTGGGTCATCGAGAATTGCTGGCCACTTCTCTGTCCTTTAGAGCGAGCAGCTGCTCTTTAAAAAAAAAAAAAAAACTATGATTCGCTCAAAATGAACTGAATGAATGGAAGCATGTTCCATCACGGAGCTGTGGAAGATTCTTGGAATTCAATCAGATGGCTACAGGAGAAAATATGATTTCCCCGGTCGATTCATTTTTAATTCAGTCGCAAAAATATTGGGCAAATATACAAAAAGTACTCCATGAGATGAAAATTAGTTTGTAAAGTATCATCCTCTCATATATTACCACTTAGTATATCCAATCTTGTGTTGGATTCTTGTCTCCCAATGAAAACCATCTCTCGTAAAAATCATATTCCTGCAACTACGCTGTTCTCCGACTTTTAGGAGCAACGTGATGACATGTTTATGAAGCGCCTGCAGAAGGTGGTTGGGGTGGCAAGTGGGCAAACAAAACATATGACTCTCACACCAGAGACTCACCTAATTTTAATGTTACCAACCCATTAAATGGCCATTATCTGTCATCATTATTCTCATAACTATCCTCTAGATTGGGCAAACTGTACCTACCAGTACACCAGAAGGTGAGTTTGGATTTAGTAGTGTAGATTTTTTTTGTCGTCCAGGTCATGGTTATCCTAAGAGCTTTAGTAGAAAGCCTCTAGACTTCTCTTATTGCTTCTTGGAGACATTTCCCCTGTCAACCCAGAGAACTAAAGAAGCCTCAGGTGAAACGTTTTCAGGAAGTCCGCTTGCTTTCCAGTGAAGCTCTTAGGATTATCATTCATTGTGATTACAGATAAACAGAAAGTAACCCAGACCACATAGGTGACCTCATGCAGTCGACTGAATGAGTGCATCTGAAATCTATGCTGGTGTCCTCCAGCCCACGATCACAGCGAAGGATGTATTGCCGGTTCATCACAGGATTGTGTGTCAAACATAAAGAAACAGCTTTTTTTCCCTCCGATAAGTGCAACCCCATGATCTTTTCCTGAACCTAACCAAGGCTAACCAAACACAAAACAGCAACTTAAAGCAAAAAAGTCAAAAATGATAGTAAAATGGAAGGAAATCAAAAGTCCCACTCTGGACTCAAACTCCAGTCTTCTGGGTGAAAATTGAACACTTATGCCACCACAGAATCCTCAATCTCAAAATGTGAATTTTAGTGGTATGTCAGTAAACACTTTCTGCATGAACATTATATAATGAGCCTATTGAGCATACAGGCAGATAGAGGACAACGCTTCCCAACCATACCTGTGGGAGTGATAACTGATAGTGACCATTTGATGGGCTGATAACAAATCAGATGCAAGACCAGAGTTTGCATCTAAAGTCCTGTCTTAGGCAACAAAAGCACTTTGGTCAAGGCAATAAAATGATTGTGCTTTTATTAAGCATACATTAACCTATGTATCTGAACTCTTGTGGCCATGTGAATTAGAAGTGAGTATATTATTACTTCTAAACACATTTTTATTGCTAGAAAGTGTGCAAACACTAGGAATTTTCTTTTTTGTATTGTTTGTATACACTGAAACGTATTCATGTTAAAAATGAGACAGCTTGTAAGGTCTTAAATTGTACATTGATTATGTTTAATCTGTGATTTTCTTTTCTGTTTTTGGAATAATTGGTATGAATCAATAAGTAATCCATTTTCAAAACAAGGCTTTGTATCAGGGGGCTGCATGGTGGCTCGGTGGTAAGCACCGTCACCTTGCAGCTAGAAGATCCCCAGTTCACGTCCTGGTTAGGATGCCTGAGATCTTACAGCATGGAGTTTGCATGTTCTCCCTGTGGGCTTCCTCCCACAGTCCAAAATCATTCTGAGGTTAATTAGTGATTCTAAATTGTCCGTAGGTGTGAATGTGAATGTGCTTGGTTGTCTGTCTCTAAGTGTGGCCCTGTGATAGACTGGTGACCTGTCCAGGGTGTCCCCTGTTTTCACCCTGAGTCGGCTGGGATAGGCTCCAGCCCCTCATGACCCCAGTGAGGATTAAGCGGTGTATAGATAATGGATGGACTTTGTATCAGTACTTTATGTCTGTCTTTTGTGTCTTTGTCTATATTTTGGAAAACATCTTGCCTGTAAAGTTGCCTCCAAAGTACAGAGAAGGCATAAAGTATCACACAATCATATTAAAAGTTTTCAAGGCAACAGCTGAGAGTTAATTCACACAGAAATACTATCTTTGACCGCTCTCTCCCATGCAGATGTGAAGAACGGCCTGACTGCCACCGTGTCTAGTGGCAGCGACGATGGAGATGGCTGCTATGTTAATGTAGTCCAGCGGCCACACTCGATGGAGATGTCCGCCATGGCTACATCGGGCAGGGCGATCAAGGCAGAAAGACCGCGCAGCAACACGTCTGAGGCCAAGCTGGAGGCCAAGAAGCGAGTCATTCGCATGCTGGTGGTCATTGTCGTCCTCTTCTTTCTCTGCTGGATGCCACTTTACTGTGCCAACACCTGGCGGGCTTTTGATGACGTCTCCGCCAAACATGCCCTCTCGGGGGCACCCATTGCTTTTATCCATTTGTTGTGCTACACCTCCGCCTGCGTCAACCCAATTATTTACTGCTTCATGAACACACGTTTTCGCAAAGCTCTGTTTGCCACTTTCTCGTGCTGCGCCGCGCCTTGCCACCGCCGCCATCGGCGTGGGCTACGGGACAATGAGGAGGATGTTATGGCAACTGGGGCATCCATGTCCAAGTTCAGTTACACTACTGTCAGCACCATGGGAACCTGCTGAGGCAGATGGATGTAGACACAATCCAGGAAAGACAGTTACTACGGCAACACAGCAGCCCACTTCTTTTGTTTTTAGGCCAATGCTATGCTCATAGGGACAGCGATGTGGTGCGGAAAAGCAGGCCGTGTAATGTAGCAGTATAGAAGCTTCATGGTCACAATTATGCAGAGATTATTTGACGACACCAAGTCTTACAGTGTAAATACCTCCATAGCTTTTTTTTTTTTTTTTTGAAAAAGCACAAAAAACAGATTATACAGTTATCTCTTGTCACAGGAGATCGAGGCAAATTGTCTGCTTATATGTTTATGGTGATGTGTGTGTGTGTGTGAGTGTGTGTGTGTGTGTGTACAGAGGTTGTTAGCAGCGTTGGACTGCATGATATCTGAGGGAGACAGTCTTAATAACTTACTAGTCATTATGTAGCTATCAAAATAGGAACCATTTGCTCTGTAATTTTGGAACTGTGTTTTATATTTTGCTGTTAGTTGTTAATGTTTATCTGTGTTAATAATTGGTAATGTAATTGCCTTCTGGACTAAGTGCCTGCTTCTAGATACTCTGTTGTTTTTGTCTAATTTAGATTTTGCCTCATACATCATTTGCATAATAATCACAGGCAAATTGTAACCTTAGGGCTTCGGAAGTATAACTGAAAGCTCTTCAAAACAAACTGAAAAACATTCTCAGATGTTAAGAACTTCAACATGGAAACTGGTAAATGAGCGGGTTTTTAATGTACATGACTCCGTAGTCCGCACCAGTACGTAGTAGTGATGCCTTGTGTTGTGTTTGTAAACTGTAACGCTCGCCATGTTTGTGTTTTTAGAGTTAGTCTCGCATCCTTCCATTAAGACATAGTAGCAAATGTCGAATCTAATTTATTTAATAGCCCTGACTTCGTTACAACCTTGATAGCATATTAGCAAAACTCCATAAACTCCAACAGACAGTGCTGCACACTGCGAAAAAGAAAAACAGAGCAAAATTGAAAGACATTTTGACAAAGAAACATGAGTTTTTGAGAAGCATCTTCTTCTGCTATAAATTAGATTAAAGTATATCAAAAAGTGGCATGTCCCTGAACATACCAGACACTTTTTAAGTGCATATAGTTTACCAATATCAATGCGGCCAGCGCTTGGCCCACACACTGGAACGCTAATGCTGTGATAGAATCTTGTATTACTGTGTCAGAATAATATATTATAGCTCAGAGCTACACTAAACACAGACAGCCCACTATGGCTCTAAAGCTCTATCACTTCTTTTGCAGATTCAAATTTGTAAACTACACATTTTTGTGAGGCTGATAAGTGCAGCGACTCTCTGTCACCTGCAGGCAACAGAGCGGAGGCCAGGTTCCAGAGGTCTCTCTCTTTGTCAGCTCTGTCTTGCATGTCTGACTTTAGCTCCCCTACTCACCTCCCACTAATTGTGTTACAACCTCAGCCCTGCCAGGCTCAACCGGTGAGCATATTTCACTAAGTGCTCCAAAGCACAATGCTGTCAGTCCCACGACTAATAGATGTATGGCCTGCTTGTGCGATTGTTTGGTTTTATAGGCCTGCAGCTTTTGTAGTTTCATGTGTGCACTGTACCTTTTGTGGTTCAAATAAAATCAGCGGTGCCTTACTGTGGGAGACTATCCTGAAGCAAGGCAGAGGAATTAATCAGCTGAAATCTCAATCTGTGTCGCAGGAAAACGAGCAAATAGCAGTCTTGGAAAATCCTCAATTTATGTGCAAATCAATTAGTATCTGCTGTCCTAATAAATCTAATACACTGAGACAGCCCTGGCTTCACACGAAGGACAAAGTGACAGCCAGAGCATTATTGACTTTCTTTTTGTGTCACTGAGCAGACTCAGGTCAGACAAATTAAGAGGCAGAGGCATTCTTTCATAACTGTTGACATTGTTTTGGCTGATTGACACAGAGGTAATGGCCTCGATCTGAAATATGTGCATGAAACCAAAACTGAAATGCTCATTTGATCTCACGGTCTCATGGTTAAACCTTGAAAAAGCAAACTTTTCCTCTCTCAGTAAATCAAGTTTTACTGCAATAAACAGCAGGCAGGAGGTTTTCATGCATCTGCTAGTAGCATTGCCCACATATGGGGAATACTGTAATACAGCCGTCTGTGTTGTGCTTTATGAGTGACACTTGGAAAGTGATTTCTTTTTTTTTTTCTCCTCGTGTGCTGAAAGAGGCTGATTTCCCTGCGGTGTCACAGAGGCCGTTATGTCTTACTCCGTCAACCCGCCCCTCCTCATCCAGCAGCTACAAATACACACCTGACAGATTACTCCAGCTTTAACTTGTTATTATGCACCAATTACTGACAGATGCCAATAATTAGTTCTTCCCCCTCCCTGTCACTAAATTAATACTGGCACTTGAAATTTAAATGTCAGTGTAAAAATAGATGTGGTGACATCTAGTTAGCATATTTAACTAACATGTAAATAAATGCCAATATAAAGAGATGTAAAGATGCTCTACAGGTTCCTGTGAGTCTGTCACCAGAGAAACTGCTTGAACCTCAGATATTTGTTGTAATCCAAAATTGTGTGAAAAGTAAACATCGAATTCATCTGTGAATTCATCACGTGGCTGTAAACAGGGTTCCAGATAAATGCTAAAGTTCAACTGCTCTGCTGAAGTATAAATTAGCAACTGTTTGCTTAATTATTAGCTGCAACACATTTTGAAGGAGCTAATATGTCAATACATTGGGTTTGCCTCTAAGAGGTCAGGAAATGGATCACTTTGGCTTTAAGGTTAGAGTTCTACTGACGAGCTCCTGCTTGTGATTTAATGCAGTTGTGTTTGATGAAAAACATCGAGGGGACAAAGGGACACCTACATTTTGCTGCACTTTAGTTTTCTGCAGAAGAATGAAAAAGAAATAACCCAAGAAACCCAACAGGCACAGCCAGCTTGTTCTGGTGGCATAATTTGCTGGAGTGGATGCAGAAGTGAAAAGGAGTGGTGAAAAACACTGGTACCACCCTGTCACTACTGTGTGAAACTGTGATTGTAAATGATGTCACCAGCACAAGTTGGCAGCACACATTTCTAAAATATGCATGGTTTATGAGCCACACTGACAGTTTCAGTCCTATATGCCATGGCTTTTAGATATTAGAGAATGAAATGGGATTTTGTGCGATAAAAATGACAAACTAAAGCCTCAGCATTGTTTCCACCCATTAAACAACTAGTTTCTTACTCACTGAGACAATATAATTGATGACTTTCCCACAGTAGCCTGCTGATTATCTTGGTATAGTTTTCAGAAAACATACTGATGTTGAGTTTTTCAAAGTTAAATTTGAATGCTTTGGGCACACATGCAATTCCATTTACCTCCATTATATCACAACGGCAGCAGAAATGTCAGAAATACCAAAGACGTGTGAAATATTCCGTAAAAACTGACAAAGTAGCTATCTTCCTGGATAAATAACATGTGGAGCAAGTCAGAATTATTATTATTTTTATAGTTTGTATATATTAATTACAAACACTGTCTATAGATGCTCAGTTTGTTGCAGAGACTGTAGTGAAATAAACAAGACTCTTTAGGCTCCAGTAGAAATATGTTAATGTAAGTGGTTGTTATTCTCATTCATGCCATAGTGTGCTAAAAAAAAAAAAAAGAACCTTAAAAGAGGTTAAAGAGTCTCCGCAACAATCTGAACATTTGTTGACTGATAACGATCACACTGATTTGGGTAATCAATCACGTTCAGTCAACACAATGAGGTGGCCTTTATCGAGTGACAAACCCTCACTCACTCTTTGATTATTATGCCCCTGCTGCTGGCTAAACAACCCCATCCTCTCCATAAAGACCACGCAAACCTGTTACTGGTTGTTTTGATTGATTTCTCCGTCAACTCCCTCCCTCCCGTTCATGCTTCTTATTACCACGCTTGACGGCGGTACCTCTTACCGTAAGCATTATGCGTGCTCATATCGCAGCGGTATCGGATGCTGTAGTGATACTCTCACTTTTGCTTGGATTGCAGAGAACCCCAATGAGCGAGATCGGCTCCTCCGAATGACAGCCATTCGTTTGCTTAAGTTCTTTGATGTAAGTGCAGGTGACAAATGGTGCAGCTGTACTCAGGGGGGATGCTGCTGGTGGATGATAAGGACAGCGTCCACAGGTGTTGCCGAGGGAATCTCTGGGGCACAGGGGTTGACAGTTTGAGCGGGGTTGCAAGTGTTTAATGCGAGCAAAGCTGATATTTGATGAGCAAATTTGCCTGACTGGGCAGCAGAGCCAGGTGTATTCATGACAAATCCGCTCTGCAGTGATAAGATGTGTTGGGGTTGGGAAATAAGCTTGGTTATCTGAATGGCAGCTAAAACTGCTTGCCTGAATCTTCTGGCAAAATAGAGCCTGGTCTCACTCCCAACTCGTCACATACTTGTGCTTTGTCGGGACCCACATTACAGCACAGTTGGTACCTTTCAGTGTCATTTTTCAATGCACAGGCTGGGCTGATAGACCTATAAATATCTGTGAATGTCAGAAATAGATGCCATGAGCCCGTGGACACATGTTCCTGCTGGTGTCGTCACTGTTGTAACTTTCGAGTTACGAGACGTTTACCTTGTTGCATGTAGTTCATGCTGTGAAAGAGTGTATTTGAATCCAAACTGCATTCTTTACCCAAGAAGTTTTAGTGCCCAAACTTTACCAAACAGCGAGGGAACTGTAATTTAAGTCATGGAATAAAACAAAGCCAAGTTTTTGGTGTTTGATAGGAAACAAACCTCAGTCTCTTGGGTGGAAGTCCTGTGACTTTTATGTCCTCCAACCCTCCGACTCCTAATGAAAGCCTCTCAAGTGGAAAATCTTAAAATCTAATAATACTATTGTTGAATATTGTGCCTTGTAAAAACGGCAGTGTTTGATGCACTGGAATCACAATGATCTGCAATATGAGAGAGGGCAGATTTCTAAATGAACTGTTGCAGCAC